CCCTTACCATCTATGCCCACAGAGGGCAACTAGGGATCCACACCCTACAGCCAGACTAAGGGAAAGGCTACCAGATGGGAGATGGCAAGAATCAATACTGGGCTAATTTAAGATATTAGATAGATGGACTTCAATCCTGAGAATTCCTTGATGGATTATTTTTTCATTGTGAATTGCAAGTATTATTCCATCAACAACAAAATGTAATTGAAAGTCAGAGGCAAATAACACAGAAAATAAATGTTCCTGAAGTCCCAGGATGTTGGGAAACACAACAGTCAACCACAAGCCTAGAACAATCTGCCCAGCACTTGAAGCTAAGAAGGGGCTTGGCCCCATCAAATTCAACCAATAATGAACCTCCAATTCCACGTACATCTGATCACATTACAAATCTGTTGTTTAGCTGTGCAAACAGACTCTGCTATCCACACTCTTTCAATAAACACTTCCTGAGCCAGGTGCACTGTGCTGGCGGAGAATGAAGGGGGGGCTCGCTCTCTCCCTCCCTCTCTACCTCCTTCTCTGTCCTTCCCTCCTCACTCGTGCGTGCGTGCGCGCGCGCGCGCGTGTGTGTGTGTGTGTGTGTGTGTGTGTGTGTGTGTGTGTGTGTGTGTGTGTGTGTGTTCTCCGCCCTTAAGAAGCTCAGTTTACTGAACATAACAGGTAAGGAAGTCAACAGCTCTCCAGTAAGTGCCTTATATACCAGAGAGCCATGCAGGGTATTCTGGAAGGCAGGAGGAAGGTTAGCTCCAGGTCAGGGGAGGAAGTGAGGGGATGTCCAGTAGAACAGAGGAAACTGGAGCTGCGCCCCTACTTGGGGAATAGTGGTCAGGTCATTCCCAGGAGAGAACCCAGAGCTGGCAAAGGTACTGGAAGCAGAAGCTATTGGTGGCTGGGCTGGGTTGGAACTCTGAGAATGTGGCAAGTGGCTAAATACCAGGTAATGGGAAGGCTACAGGTTGTAGAAAGGGCTTAACTTTACTCTAAAGCCAATGAGGATCCTGTGGAGAGATTTAAGTAGAAGAGGCCATATGAGATGTGTGAGTTTGAAACAGTATTGCTAAGAATATGAACTAGAATGGAGGAAGAGAAAGATGGGGAAGAGAAGAAACATGATTGACAAAGGCCAGTGAGATGGCTCAGCAGGTAAAGGTGACTATCACACAGACCTGACAAGATACTGGATAAGCCAGCTGACAGAAAGGACAAGCCAAGGATGAGTCTAGAAGTGGAGAGGGGAACAGGCCAAGGGCACTCAGATGAGGGTGACAGCTGTTGGGAGACTGGGCAAAGTCTGGCTGTGACACAGGCCTACAGACCCTTGGGGAAAAGGAGTACAGATGAGCTCTTCCAGGAAAACAGCAGAGAGATGAAGAAGGGGCCAAGCAGAACCTTACACCAAAGATAGGAAAAGGGCAGGGTACAAGCAGGCTTACGAGGAGAGAGCCAGGGGAGAGTAGGCCACTGGGATGACCCAGGGCCAGAACGCTGAGCACCACCAGAGAGACCTCAGGACATTGCCCCTGACTGTGGAAGCAGGGGCAATGAAGTCATGAGCAAAAGACCAAGAGGAAGTGTAGAGATCATGGCTGACAAACCCACGCCTCCTCCAAGAGCTTTGGTGATTCCCCACAGGCTTCCTCCACTTTGCTCGTAGGAAAACCCTTCTCTGAACACCCTACCTGACCCATCACCCCTCCCCACTCTCAACCTCACTTTACTTCTCACCATGAGCACTCCTGGTGTTCTAGACATGCTGTTGTCTGCCTTGTGATGATAGAAACCCTGTTACCTCCTTGCCCCTTGCCCCTTGCCATCTGTGGTGGGCAGGAGAGCTGGCCCTGGGGTACAAGAGCAAGAGAGCTGGTCCTGCCCCTCACTAGCTGAAGCACACAGGAAAGCAGGCCCTACACCTCGCCTGGGGAGCACACTAGAGCTGACCCTGTAGGTGGGGGCACAGGTCAGCCTGTCCTATGTACATGAGAACAGGAGATGGCACCTGCCCCTTCTCTCATATGCCATGTGATGTCATGGGTGGGGGAAATATGCCCTCCAGCCCCGACCCCTTGCCAACTTGGGCAGGTGGGAGAGCCGGCCTTGGGTGCTGTCCCTCACCAACTGTAGCAATGGGAGAGGGGGCCATATACTTTGCCTGGGCTAAACAGCTGCCCCTGGTGGTATGAGTGTTCGAGAGCCAGACCTGAGGGTGTGAGAGCAGGAGAATTGGCCTTGTTCCTTGCTTCCTGCTGCATTTGAAGAGCTAGCTGGGACAGTGCTGAAGAGCTCACCCTGGTGGTGATGGATGGTGGTGAAGATGAGGGAAAGCTGGTGGGCTGACCAACCCAGGCCCAGAACCAGGCTTATAGCCCACCCCAACATTCACCTCATCTATGAACTGCTGGAATATGTAAAGAGGCTGGATCTTTGGATCCAAAGCTATGGGATCTCCATGACACAGAACAACAACAGTATATCCAGGAAGAGTCCCAGTGACAGCCCATCAATGGTATAGCAGAAGCCAGGCCAAGGATCCATGACAAAGGCTCCAGAGCTACAGAGAAACCCTGTCTCAGAAAAAAAAAAAAAAAAAAAAATGTTTGGAGGTATAAGAGGTATACTGTGTGACTCACTGGGCCATACCACAGCTTCCATGCCGAAATGTTCTTTTCTTTTCCTTCCTTCCTTTCTTTCTTTCTTTCTCTCTTTCTTTCTTGTTTTTAGGTTACACTTTTAAATTTTGTTTTGTTTGGGGGGAGGAGATCACAAGGGCAGAGGGGAGGGGACAGGGAGATGAGTGAGACTGGGATGCATGATGTAAAATCCACAAAGATTCAATTAAAAGTTTTTTTAAAAAATTAAAAAGAAAAAAAAAAAAAGAAAGAAACCCCGTCCTGTGTCACCTGTTTAACTATGGTAAAAAAAATTAAAAAGAAAAAAAAAAGAAAGAAACCCCGTCCTGTGTCACCTGTTTAACTATGGTACTGAGAACAGAGCCTGTCATATATCTGAAAACTAGAACTGTCTGGGAAGGATTAGGAGGTGTGGCCTTCTTAGAGGAGGTGTGTCACTAGGGGCTGGGTTTAAGGTTTCAAAAGCCTATGCCATTCCCAAGTCTCATTCCTGCCCTGGTGGTTGTATCTCAAGATATAAATTCTCAGCTACTGACCAGTGCATTGCCTGCTGGCATGTTCCCTACCTTGATGGTTATGGACTCTAGCCCTCTGAAACCATAAGCCCCAAATTAAACACTTTCTTTTCTAAGTTGTTTGGTCATGGTGTTTTATCACAGCAATGAAGTCAGTATCCAATGTCACCTGGCTCACTGGAAACAACAAATAATTAGAGAGCATATAATACACTCTAAGCCTGCCTGTGCTATATGCTGGGGACATGGTGAGAAAACAAAATGGGATGTGCCTTTGTGACTTGATGCTGGAGACAAGCAGAAAAATTGCAACATGGTCACCACACAGTTAGACCTGGAATTCCACTCTCATGCCTTTTATGGCAGTCCCTTTCCAAACCCAGAGCTGTCTCTTTCTCCAACTGAAGGACAATCTTCCTGGGATGTTACTAAGTGTTTGAGGTTTGATTGTCATCTTTTCCAGATTTTCAAACAACTCTCACTTTTTTCCCGTTTTTTCAAGACAGGGTTTCTCTGAGTAGCCCTGGCTGTCCTTGAACTTGCTTTGTAGACCAGGCTGGCCTCAATCTCACAGAAATCCATCTGGCTCTGTCTCCTGAGTACTGAGATCAAGGGTATACACCACCACACTCAGGCTCCTAAAAAATAAGAACACCTACACTATGCTCTCAATTGTTAGTCTGACTCCATCTATTTCTACATCAGTGGGAGAAGAAATCCCAGACTTAGATAAAGAAACCAAGCACACATGCCAAGGGTCATGCAGAAGAGGGTTCCAATACCTTGTTACTTTGCCAACTTCTCGGTAACTAGATTTCCTTATTGCTGAAACTGGAATACTAACTCTCCCAGCAGAGGTCATGCAAAGTTGAAATGGAAAGATGCACATGGAGGACTCAGCATTTCAGTGGTGGCTCAATAGGCACACCCACTGCTTCTGTTGTTCCATCTCAACCTCCTACCTTCACACAAACCAAGGCAAAAAGGGCTTAGCATTCCAACCACAGAGCATATGCCAAGATGCACAGAGCACAAAATGGTCAGTAACCTAGGAAGTGACCTCAACTCCCACACACTTGTCCAGACTCCCACGGTAAGTTTGACTTCATTTGGGCTATTTTATTTTCTCCCCTATTTTACACAAATACAACTATTTCTCCCTACAGATCACATTTTGTGTCTCACAGCCAGAGTGCAAACCCAGGCTGGATTCCACAGTGCAAGTTGTGGCAGAGTTAGGAATACCACACCTCAAAGCTAGCCTAAGAACACAATCAGAAGCCCAATGTACACACAAGCACCAACACACTCAGCTCCAAGAAAAGCAAGGACTGGTCACAACATGCTTGGCCTGCCTCAAAGTTACAGGCTAGGCTCTTCTGGCATACCTTTTCCTTGGCCTCTGGGTGCCTCTCACCTTCTTCCTCCCACCCCCAAGTTATGCATGTTTATCAAAGGTCAGCCCTCCACTTATTCAAAACTATTGTGTGCAGCCTGAGAGATGGCTTAGCTGTTAAGGACTAAGGCTAACAACCAAAAGTACTAAGAAGTCCAATCTACATCTCCAGACATAACTGTCTCCATGCAGGCTTCAGTTCTGAATCACCAACTGTAAACTGGACATCTCCTACCGATGAACCAAGACTTGTCTAACATGCATGAAGGCCTGGGTTCAGTCCTCAGCATGGCAATCAATCAATCACTCAATATCAACATCAACTATCTCTTTCCAGCCATGCCCTGCACTTCTCTTGATGATACTGTTATGAAACAAACATCAAATTTCAACTTTCAACTACTTTGACTCCTGTCTTTAGAATCTACTAAGTCTGAAAATCAAATGGGCTCTTACCTTGCAATCTCCCATCCATTGTGTATCTGCTACTGGCCACATGACAGCCTGTGTGTATTAGTGTTAGCTCCTGTCACTTCTTCACTCAATGTAACTGAAACAGATTCCCACTGCCTTGGAAATAAGTCTAAGAGCCTAAGTTGGAACTTGGGGGTCTAGAAAAAGAGTTGACAAACAACAAACCACAGGTCAAATCGAGTCTACCCCATTTCTGTAGATACGGTTTTAATAGACCTCATTTACAAAGCATCCTGGCTGCTTCCAGGCTACCAAGCAGAGCTGAGCAGCTCTGAACAAGGCCATATTCATCTGGTCCTTCACTGAACGAGTGTGCTGACTTGGGCTATCACTGTCAGATGGCAGTAGGTACCAAAGATCTTGTCCAAGCTACTTCAAAACTTTTGTTCCTGCTGGTCTGTGGATGGGCCCTTTACAGTTTCTTTACACCCTACATTCATGTTCCTATGTACAGAAAATCGTATTCCATCCTTGGACAGTTTTCCATCTACCTTTTCTTCTCAGATAATGCCAAAGCACTGCTTGTCTGTGAGGTCAGCTGCATCCATCCCCCAAGCCTGTGGGTTCTCCTCCTCTGACCTCTGTCTGCACCAGTGGTTCTCAACCTTCCTAACACTGCAATCCTTTAATACAGTTCCTCATGTTGTGGTGACCCCCAACCATAAAATTATTTTCATTGCTACTTTATCACTGTAATTTTACTACTGTTATGAATTACAATGTGGATATCTAATATGCATGATATCTGACATGTGACCCCTGTGGAAGGGTCATTAGACTTCCCATAGGGGTCACAACCCACAGGATGAGAACCACTGGTCTACACCAATCACAAAAACTATCCTTTCTGCCTATGATATAGACTTCTCTGGGATTCAGGCTTCATAACATCCACTGGGCACCTGCAATAATAACAAGCTTGCTCTTCATCCCAAACACAACCTCAACTGCATCATTTGGTAAAAGGGCATCAAACAAACTTACCAATGAAGGCCTAGGGTTCCACATTTGAAACCTTAAGTTTTGTTCCAAAAGTGTACACTGTAGCCACCACCACCTGAAAGCAAGAAAATAAAGGTTTAGCTCTAAAAGAGAATGTTACATGTTCATTTTTAACTGGCACCATGCATAAAGTTTTTACTAACCATTCTTCTGGAATGCCAGCTCTGCTTCTGTCTAGAAAATGCCAGCTTACCCTGCAAACTCATTGGCATAGAGGCCTCTCTGACATACCAAGTACCACCCTGTCAGCTTCCATGGAACACTGGTGACATATCTGTGGCAACACACTATATATGGCAGGATCTCTTATTTGGAGGTAGGAGGTTCTGGACTACAGGTTTTTGAGAGATTTGTAGAATGTACCCTTCTTCTTGACTCTGCTGTCTAGAACACCACAGGCATTTAGATGGTCCTCAATCAATGTGTTCCGTGGCTAAGAAAACAACACATTCAATTCATTACCACATGCCTACATTCTAGACTTCTGCAAGAACATGGTTTTCACCATAGGAATGCATGCCCCAGTCCCATTGCTTTGAATAGGCAATAGTTTGCCAGAAGGATTAGTGAGATTAATCTAAAGGCACACCTTGGCAATGACACGCCCCTGGCAGAAACCTTCAGACGCTCCCAGAATCAAAACCAGGATGTGAGGCCTGTACCAACTGGCCCAGGTTCACTTTGCAGCCTCCACTCACCCAGATTCCCCAAATGGACCCTACTGTCCAGAAAGATAAGACAGACAGTGAATCCTCAAACACAGAGGTTTGTGGTCCACATAGAGCTCTGCACCCTTGACCTCTGACTTGACCTCTGTATTTGAGGATTCACCATGCCCTCTAGTTGGGTATCTTTGTCTACCGTCTTGACCACCTACTGATGCCATCCATTCCAACACTGTAGCCCATACCAGTTTCTTAAGTGTGATTCTTCCTTAAGCTGTGGTGAAATACATGTAAAATAAAGTTCATAATCTCAACTATTTGGCAATATACGGCTTGGCAGTATTCAGCCATGTTCATATTGTACAACTATTGTCACCATCCACCTCCAGAACTCTCTTCATCTGTAGAATAGAAACTGTATCTAAGCCTCTGTGACCAGAAAGTCCTAGTAAAGCATGCATGAATGAATGAATGAGCGAGTGAATGGATACACTGCTGAACACTACCATCTTTTCCAGATTCATTTCAATCCATCTTAAATCACACACACACACACACACACACACACACACACACACACACACACACACACACACT